GCAGAGTTAGGGCCTGAGCCGTAGGCGGTCCATTTCTACACAAAGGGTAGATAGACGGTGGGTTATGGCGATATTAAGAGTGATCGATCACAGAAGCATGTGGGAGAGAGGAATCCTGAGGGAAAGAGCTCATTTTATTCTTTCTAATAACCAAGCCATTTAGATGATTTGAGCTTATAAACTTTTAAAAATATATATATTGTTATTGCTTTCAGAGAGGAAGGGAGAGGGAGACAGAGATAGAAACATCAATGATGAGAGAGAATCATTGATTGGCTGCCTCCTGCATGCCCCCTACTGGGGGTCAAGCCTGTAACCCGGGCATGTGCCCTTGACCGGAATCAAATCTAGGACCCTTCAGTCCACAGGCTTCACTCTATCCACTGAGCCAAACCGGCTAGGTCTGAGCTTTGAACTTTAGAAGTTGATTGCCATGTACCTCAAAGGAAGGAAAATAGATCATGCCATCCTGGGTAGAAAGTACAAGAAGCGCAGAGATAGGCAGAACTTTGATATCATTCAGTACCCCCCTCTGTCCCTGAGCAAACTTGCCTCTACTTCCCTAATAGGCTACCTATGTACAGACTCCCCAAGACGGTAGCTCAGGAGGTCACCCTGCAGGTGCTGAGAACCAAGGCAGAGTTTAACTGTAATCAAAGAGTCAGCTTTTCCTACGGTTGGAAGAAATGAGAAACACAGAGACTTAAAAAGAAATGTCTAGAAGAGCAGGAAGGAGACACCCAGCATTGGTCAACATAGATCCAAACATGGAATTAGGAAAAAAAAGGGGAGCGGGGTGGGCAGGAAGATGGAGCCAGAGTGAGGAAAAGCGAACGAATCCGAGTGAGAGAAAGAATGTGACAAGGCTGCTTCCCCCTCACCCTGTCAGCTCCCACTATCCCCCCTGGTCCTGAGGAAAGGGCACGGCAGTCATAAACTGCAGTGAGTCACAGCTGCTATTTTTAACACATGCACACGCACACGCACGCACACACGCTATTTGGCTCCTCTCTGCTCTGCTCAGCCCAGCACTTTGCCCAGCCCAGGACCTCCAGGCTCACACCAGGCACACAGGCAGGTGAGCGGCGGCCACGTGACAGAAGAAGACTCACAGACCACAACCTGCCCTGATGACCGAGAGCAGAGGGCTCCAGGGGAGGGGGCCCCCAGACAAGACCACTGAGAAAGTGCTAAGTAAGGGGCTTTCAAAAGAGGATGTTTGGAAGGGTTTCCATTGTTTAGGTCACCTTCTGGCCAAAACACCATGTGAGAGTGTTAATCTTGAAAATGCTTTTCCAACTTGTTCAAAACTTTCCAAATGAAGTTTGAGTGCTTTAAAATCCTTGGTTTAAAAATCTAAAACTCTAACATGGTTTGATTAGTTTACAATAAATAGTCTGCCAACAGAGATGGAAATTTTCTAGCCAGATTTCAAGAAAAACCTTGCATCATTGGTGAATCAAAGTGAATTGATGAGCTTCATGACTTAATGTGACCAGCAGAGCTCTGCCTCCATATCGAGTTACTAGATTTTGGAAGCCACAGGAGTGCCTTAAAACCAACCATCAACCGAGGCTCAACTTGGAAACTGACGTGTAAATTACTGTATCTTAAAACAATATTTAAAATAAAATGTTTATTGTTCTTAAAAGCATGGGATTGTCAACTTTTTTATCATTGATATTTTAAAACTATATTGACCTCATTTTATTTTTTATTTGAAACATATTTTTATTGATTTGAGAGAAAGAGGAAGGGAGAGGGAGAGAGAAACATCGATATAAGAGCGAAACATGGATCAGCTGCCTCCAACAAGCTCCCTAACAAGGATTGATCCCACAAGAGGGACATGTGCCCTGACTGGGACTCGAACTGGCAACCTTTTGGTGCACGGGACACCACCCAACCAACAGAGCTACACTGGCCAAGGATTGACCTCATTTTAAAACTTCTATTTTATAATAAAATGCAGTCATGTACAAAATTTTAAAATAAACACACACAGTAGTGTACCCTCAGACACTGTGCTTATAAGGGTACAACCCAAATGAAGGCAGGTATCTATGAAACCTAAAACATTAATCTTTTGTTATAATTTCAAATGGTTCAGACAATGACTGTTTGTGGCTGCTCCATAGCCTAACTCTTACATTTCCCTAGTCATTCTGATCATTTCTAAAGATTGCAGCAAAAACAAACAAACAAACAAACTTTACATAATGGATGCTTTCCCTTTTATATAAACTAAGGCAATTCTGGGTTGATTTTTTTTTCTAAAAAGCATTACAATTCAAGGGTTTTCAAAAGTCTAAAGGTAAAAAACAAAAGAATAAACGTCAAGAACAAACGCTGGACCCATCGATTCAGACCCTGTTGCCGGAGGATTCCCTGCCTCTGAGCACACGTAGGGCTGGGCTGAAGAACCCCTGGGTTTCACTCATGATAAAGTAAGGCCCCTGGAGATCCCACATTTCAGGAGGAAACTTGACTTTGGCTCCTTACTATATAGGTCACCCCGTAAAAATTACACAGACCTTTCCTTGCTTTGAATCTTGATGGCATCAGAAATGATTCTTAAAACTCTGCAGTTCAAACTGGGTGGTGTCAACGAGGAAGCTGGCAGGAGGCTGGGGATCTACTCGGATCCTGTAACCATTAGGCGACCTTAGCGTCTTTTCACCTCACTTACTTTTTCTTCTATCAAATGAGGAGGGATGTGGATGTCTAGTATGAAGTAGGAAGTTGCTCGCAGCTCTCCCAGTCCAAGATTATTCTAAGTTATTCTAAACCCTTAAAGCATAGTTTCCATTTAAGACAATGTGGCCTGTACACTGTTTTCCCACTGGATTTAATTTGTAGAGCTGTTGTAACACTTGACAGAGGGGAGATGAAGGACAGGAGGTGTCCTGGATGGCAGCAGTGATCTGGTGAAGCTTTTAGTCTCCAATGTGGCATCATCAGTGACTCTCAAAGTCAAAATTAATCTGTGGATCTGAATTCTATGGATCCCTAGCCATATATATTTAGACTAGTGGCCTGGTGCATGAATTCATGCACATTGAAAGGAAATTAGAAGAAATATTTTAATATCGCTATTCGCCCTTTCTCTATAAGTGTCAACCAAATTCATGATCAACAATGACAGATAGAAACACACATGTGCAATTGGCGCCAGTGAGAGCTTTATATGTATCATGCATGTGTGAGTCAACTTAGCCTTTTATCGATATAGAATAGACTTGCTTAATTAGACCTGCTTTCTGATTTAGCTAACTTTTTCCCAGCCTAGTGAAGCACCCCAACCTCTCTTTCAGGTAATTGACAGCAACACAACAGTTAATATCAACATGAAGCGCATTATTATTGTAGATCACACAGGGAGAACAAAGGATAAAATATTTAACTGCAGCAGTGTTTGACTATATTCTGCACAGTGAGAAAACCTGAAGTCATTTTCAAGGTCCACCATTTCTTACTTCTTTTCAGTCAGGTCAAGTTTCTAAGCTTTCTAAATCTCCATTTTCCAGCTAACAAGAAGAAAATAGGATTCCACCGAGTCTCCTATCTACCTACTCCAGGACTTCTGTGAGGACCAAATGAGATGAGGCATGGGAAAATGCTTCACAGACATCTGGTTACAGTGTAGTGTTTCCACCTGACTATAAAGAAAGTAGTATTCCTGGCTGCAGAGAAGGCTAGTCACTAGGGAGAGGAAGCCAGGCATTGCTATGTGACATCATTATCCGGACAGAGGGAAGGACACTTAGCATATTAGCCTTTTATATAGCTAGATGGAGGGCCTCTGTAAAGACTCACACATGCATGCAATCATTCAAATTAGGTTTCAAAATTAGCTGTTGTGATTTGTACCATAATCTGAGTTAGGTCAGAACTCCCTTTCCCAGAGTTCTTTTCCCTGGGTGGTTGTACGTTGGAATTGGCTCACAGAGTTACTTGTGTGAGATTTGGAAGACAAAAGTGAAGCAACGGCCATTTTTCTCTGAAGGTCATCATAGTCAAATGTGGCAACTAACAGACCCAGAGGTGCCTGTCCTCATTCTCCTCTTGTCCACTTTCATCTCTTCTTCCCAAGTGTTGACCTTGAGCATTGACCTAGGGTGGCCCCAGGCTCACCACTAGGCATCTGGCTGTAAATGCCGCCTGGTGGTCACCACGTGGCAGCACCAGCTTCCCACAGAGCTCCAAGAACGCCACCTCCCCAGGCCCACTTCAACATGGAACGTGTGTTTTGCTTCTCAGATGAGGAGCTGGTTGGCACACCTCAATTTGCATACCTCCTTCTGACAGTTCACTTCTCATTTCCTCCCACGATTGTGTTGGGTCTAATTCCTGTTACAAATTCTGATTTCCATAGCACTCAGAGCAACACTTCTACCGATTCACCAACCAAACCAAACACAAACCCCCAAAATGAGTATTCCACATAGAGGAAATTTCTATGCATGTTTTCTAGTACTGGGCTTCCTGAGGGCTCATCATGTTCTAGGTCTAAGAGGGCACAAATGGTACCAAAGAAAGACAACCGTGAATGCACACACGAGTGTGTTTGGGGAGAATATGAAGCTTACTTGGCTTAAAAGTTTGCCTTTGCTCATCCTCATGCAGGGATGTGAGTTGGTTCTATACATTTCTCTTTCCCTGGCTATGTCACAGGCAAGACTCTGTCCAACCTGCTTCCACAGGCTCCTGTCCTCAGTACCCTCTGCCCAGCGATGTCATAGCAGCACTTGCTGGCACGTACAAGCGATGGAGCTGGTCTAATTAGTGCTACTATCACACCCTGCATGGAGGTGTTACAACCTAACAAGCATTTGGGTAGCAATACTAAAAACATAAGACTTCAAATGATTTCACTGATGGTGAGGTAACATTCACACTTTGACCCACAGGTGTTCATGAGGCATTCCTTCACTCCTGGACTAAAAAGCAAAAATCCAAAGTTTCTTAAAAAAAAAAAAAACCAGACAACCCAAACACCATAAAAGTGTGCACATAAATTACTTTATTGCTTTCTAGTTTCTTATTTAATGTGGAGTCAATGCTTTTGAGTAATGGTCAGAAGATGTCCAGATTTCAACATTATTAAACATCAAACAGTAAAATATGTGGAAAGAAGCCCTCCAATGTTAACTCCCAGTATATCTGGTGGAACAACCTGGGATAAAGGCCACTGGGCTTGTCGTCTTGGTTTATGCAGAGAACTGCTATCCTCACATGGGAAATAGGAAAGGTCTCAGATATCGCCCACGTGTTTAGGCAGCAAGCTTGTCTTCCTCTGAAATGTCTGGGGAGACTGACAATGACTCCAAATATGAGAATCCTTCCTTTCACCTCAGGCTTAATTAAAAGAGTCAGAAGAAACTCCTGTGGAACAGAAGAAGTGGTTAGGACAGCGATTTTCACCCGGTGTGCCGCAGGTATTTCTAAAACATGCAATACCTGACTATTTAGTCAGGGGCACTGACCTCTTTTCCCTTAGATTGTCAAATAGAAAAATGACAACAGCCAACACAACAACAGCCATCTGGTGTGAATGAATCAAAATTATATGTATTTTTTGTCAGATCAGCAAAAAATACATCTTTTTGGTGTGCTGCAGAACTTTAGTAAGTAGCTTGTGTGTGCCATGAGATGACAAGGGCTGACAATCTCTGGGCTAGGATGATCAAGACCAGCAATGATTCTACTTTGAAGGAAGTGACATGTGCCTACCCAGTTCCTCTCTGACCACCCCTTGTAAGGACACGTGGATTCTGAGAGCGCGCACGGCAGGCCCCGTGACGAGGTGAAGCCAGGGCAGCCGTGAGCAGCTTTCTGCGTGTTGAAGGCACAAGGACCTCATCGTCCTGAGGTAGGGGGAGGGTCACCGTGTTGGGAATTATATTCAAAACACATATCCTACCTCCAGGAAACTGCTCTCAGCTGCCATACATTTGTTTACAATTTTGATCTCCTTTTGAAAGTCCCCAAGTCTCTGGCATCCCTAAAAAATGCTGCTGTGCCCTGCTACCTCTGCAAAGAATCAGATTCCCAAGGAGTGGAGGCTCAAAGGGACACACAGCTGCAAAAATAAATACGCAACTCAATTTTTAATGAATATGAAACACCACAAAGAAATAAATATCTCAGACTCTACAACTACAGGTTGCATTCAAGCAATCCCTCGCAGAGTTTTAAAAATGGTGATTTTCCCATAAAACAATAACTTTGATCAATATGTAAGGACTAAGCAAAAAATGTATGAAAATATGATTTTTTTAAAAAGAAACTTCATTAAATACCAAGAATAGTGATCAAATTCAAGATGTCACATTTAAATGAATCACTTTTGATCTTTCCCAATGGTCATCTTGGCCTTCCAGGCGAGCATGGACCAGGGCCACCTGCCGACGCCGCTGAGGAAGCAGTCACACCGCCCCTCCGTGGGAGAGCCATGGACCCCACCTTTGCCAGAGGAATCATCTCGAGCCCTCGGGCTTTTGCAATTCCACAGTATGAAGAATGCTCTTTACAAACACAGTAATACTGAAAAAAGAACATAAAAGTGCATTTATTCATGTCCATGCCGTCTAAATCTACTGATTACAGTCATCAGGACCCACTGGAACCTAAACAACAATAAAAACACGGGGACACTCATCCCCCTGATCCGCAAGTTTCCGTTCAGAAGACTCCGTGTGCTGGCGAGCCAGTTTCCTCCCTGAGAAGCATGCTCCGCGCCTCGCTCTCTCCCTCCAGCATCTTCTGTCTCTCTCGGTTAAGGCCTGGACAGTGTCGGATGGTGTCCCACGTCTCCTCGGGCCGTGCCCTGGCGAGATGCTATCAGTCGCCCGCGGGCTAGGGCTGCACGAGGTCAGGCTGGGGTGCCCTCAGCTCTGCGGTCCGCCGCTGGAGCTCCTCCACCGTCCGCAGCAGCGCTGACCTCTCCAGCTCCAAGGCCAGGGCAGCCTGCTTCAGCTTGCTTTCATTGGTCAGGAGCTTCTCCACGGTGGCTTCCAGGCTCTGGATCCTACCATTTGCCACCTGGAGAGTAAAAGGAAACATGAGACTGTCATTGCCCAGTGACAACACAGGGGGATCCACAGTACACTCCCCTGTCCGGCCTTTGGGGAGCTGTGGAGCCACATTTTGGCAGAGAGGAGTCCGCTGGGTACCATCAGTTCTTCTGGCCACACAGGAAGACTACATTCCCAGGCTCCCTTGCAGGTAGTCTGGGCCACCAGAGCTCCTCCCCTGCTGTGGCTGCTTTGGGAGCTGTACATGGAGGCGGTGGCTTCACAATGCAGAGGGAGCCCGAGCTCCGAGCCACACACTACAGGGATGGCAGCTCAGATATGGCCACAGCATCATCCTGGAGAAGAGGTGGCGCTTCGGGGACAAAGACCTTTGTGGTCTGCCACTGAGATTTGGAGCTTTACTTATTACTGCAGCACATCCTGGCCTATTTAGATGACATCATCTATTTACAAGTACAAACTGATTTCAAACTGACAGTCAAAAGGGATTCCACGTAAAGGCCCAAGCAGCAATAGCTCACTAATCTGAAATTCTTTCTATTTTCCGTAGAGTGACAAGATATCACTATGTCAAGGAACATGGGCATTCACCCTGGAACATGTGTTGGGCGCTGTGAATAGCCATGCGTTCTGCTAAGAGGCTCCCGTGCAGGGTCTCGGACCTGTCACCACCTCCGCGAGCTAAGCAGTCTCCTCATGTCCACCTGGCCCACGTCCTCAGTGGCTGGCACAACATTAAAGTCAGTTTGCACTTCCAGGTGCTTCTCTCTTGTATGCGATCAGGCAGGCTTCCAGGCAGCCAGTGAGCTGGCTCTAGCGAAGCTGAGGGTTTCCTAAGAAAACCACCGACCCCCCTGCTGTCCTGCGGCCTCTCTGGCCTTGGCCTCGGCCCCCAGCTGTGCTCTGGTCACCGGGTGGTTAATCCAGCCCAGGGGCCACAGGTTCCCATCTATTTCGGGGGGGTGGGGGGATGGTACTATTTTTTTCTTCTCATTTTCAAACAGGAGAAACTGTGTTTTGAACACGATAACACTTGTGCTGGACAGACAATTCATGACTCCAAGTCTAGCTTTGGCTGTGCTACTGGGACACTCAAAATAGAATATACTACTGGGATCCTAAGTTTGCTGGCCCACCAGGCCGGGGTGCTCATGCCTGGTGCGTTCCTACCAGCAGGACTCTGAGCCGCACAGTCCTACCCTCGGCCCAGGCCTGGGTCAGGCCCCACCGCGTGTCCAGGAAGGATCGCTTGTTCAGAAGCCCCACGACACACCAGGGGCACCCAGAGCTCAGCGGGGAGCTTTCTGCAGAGCCACTGACTGCCACGCGAGCATCAGGGCTCCCCGGTGAGACCGAAGCTCTCCCCTGAGAAATCAGGTCTCCTCCTGCACAGGAGGCTGCCCCCCACTGCGCCTGGCTCCTGGCGCCCAAGGACTTGCGGTTGATTACTATGAAAAACGTCCGTCCATTATTATTTGGCACCACCTGACATGTCTATGAGATTGCCTCATGGATGCCGCTGGACAAAACAGGGTAACGGTTTGGTCTCCCACTGCGAGACAACATTTTTAAGTGTAACCAAGAGAATAAGTGGGGCTTTGGGATGTCTAATAACTATATAGGCAGAACAAAGCTAGAAAATGGGTCAATTTTGATACTTTGGCAAAAATAAAAAATAAGAAAAAAAATTTATGTTGAAAAATTAACCATTGGACTCTGAAAACTGCTTAAAAAAAAAAAAGATGGAGGTGAGCGTCTCACAGAACTTACAGTCCAGCTGAAGGACAGGAACCCCCTGTGACTCCTCGAGGGTCATGGGAACAGGACATACAAGCACCTACCAACCAACAACACAGTCCGTACCCCAACTCTTTGAGATCAACAATGTCTTACGGTGCCCCCACAGCAGGACTCAGTCAGTGTGGTGGGCTGGCATAAGCTGCGGTCCTGAGTGACCCCTCCAGAAACACAGAGCCGCTTGGTCAAGAGAAAGAGCATTGCGAGGAGAACACCTGTTGTCACCATTACTGCCAGGCGCCTTTCCTGAGGAATGCGGATTTTGGAGCAGCTTTTCACAACACCCTCTCTTTACGAAAAGGGACAGTATCACAGAAGCAACACAAACTCACTCTCCACCCTCCATCTCACACACGCACAAAACCCACCCGGACGTTGGCCCAGTAAAATGAGCCTCCTGCCTCTCTTAACAAGCCCCGTGCTGCAGACGCGAGTCTGAGCTCTGTTCCGCCTGGTATATGTCAAGGACCCAGTGTTTGTTCGGAAGGCGTTTGAAATGACCGCCTACACTGCAGACCCTTACAGGCCAGATAAGGCTCTGTATCCCCTTGAACCTTTCTCACACGTGACGGCTGCAGCGTCCTGGAGAGACTGCACACAGACACACTTTGAGTTAGGACACCTAGGTCACGGGGAGAGAAGCAGCCACGTTTCCGAATGTGACGGGCAGTGAGGACTGGGCGGGGAATGCATTTTTCTTTGTTCCTCTAGAGCAGCGGTTCTCAACCTGTGGGTCGAGACCCCTTTGGGGGTCGAATGACCCTTTCACAGGGGTCGCCTAAGACCATCGGAAAACACATATATAATTACATATATGTGATTAATCACTATGCTTTAATTATGTTCAATTTGTAACAATGAAAATACATCCTGCATATCAGATATTTACATTACAATTCATAACAGTAGCAAAATTGCAGTTATGAAGTAGCAACGAAAATAATTTTATGGTTGAGGGTCACCACAACATGAGGAACTGTATTAGAGGGTCACGGCATTAGGAGGGTTGAGAACCACTGCTCTAGAGTAAATATCTCCTTGGGTACGGGGACAGATCCCTGCAGAGGGAAATGCACTTCAGACCCGGCTGATTTATTAGGCTCTCAGATGCTGGCCTTTCTCATATCACTGCCGAGCCTGTGTCTGCAAAGCGGCAACTTCCTATGGAGAGAAATAGAGGCTCAGGTCGGGAAGGAAAGCTAATTCTCAGGTCAGCCCAAGAGCGCATAAAACACACACTTGGGGGTGGGGTGGGGAAGAAAATGTATTTTTTCCTGCGGAAACTCAAAAAAATTTTTGTAAACACTCCACAAACAATTCCTTAACACTGACAGCATTACCGCCCATTTCTGATGTTAAAAAAGTAGACCATGTGGTTCCTTTATTCCATCAGATTGGAAAAGGAGCTGTGTGTGTGCTAAGCCGTTAGGTTTTCTTCCTGTCCTTGTCACACAAACAAGGGAGTCAGGACTGAGCTGGTCAGCGGTCTGCCCTGGGGAAAGCGTGGGTGGGAGACGTGGGGAGACCAGGGCTCCGGGCTGCCCCTGCCCTTGCTTCCTGTCACCCTCTGTGCACACAACCAGTGTTTGCCTTCCTAGTGTCTTCGTCCACACGCATCCATGGTAAAATGGAAGCTTCCAGAGTGGAGAACTGTGTCCTTCATCAATCAAGGCTTGGTATTTGCACCAAGGACACATGTATCACGATCCTATGCCCTGGTTTACTTTTTTAATTTTATTTTTTAATATGTTTGATTTGTAGAGAGAGCGGGAGAAGGAAAAGGGAGAGATAGAAACAACAATGAGAAAGAAACATTGATGTACGCCCCCTACTGGGGATCGAGCCCGCAACCCGGGCATGTGCCCTGACCGGGAATCAAACCAGTGACCTTTTGGTGCATGGGCGATGCTCAACCACTGAGCCTGGTTTATTTTGCAAGGTAGATGTCAGTGTCGCCTTCCTCCTTTAACATCCCTCCGTGGACCTGGCTGATTTTGCTCATAGAAGCTCAAGCCTTTGCTTCTCTTGTCATTATTCAAAGCACAACTGCTGGCATTCAGCTAAGAGCTCTGCAGAGTCTGGATCGCAAGTTCCTGCTAACAGCAGAAACAGCCCCTCAGAAGGCTGTCTGACTTCAGCAAAGGATCACCTGTCTGCTGCCTCAGAGGAAGGCCCAGGACTCCCGAGATACCTTTGATCCCAACTCTAAATGGACCTGGGCAGAAGGGTCCTGCGGTCGTGGGAAAGCCCAGCCTGCTGAGTTAATGAACTACCGGGGTTCAGGAAGCTGCCTCCTGAATATGCTCTACCTGCAGTTGTTCCAGGAGGTCGAGGTTCTGTTTGCGTAAGCTGCTGTTGGTTTTCTCCAATTTGTCCATTCTTTGGTTGTCGCTGAGAGGAGAGGAATCGATAAGTTCTTCTTGAAGCACATGGTACTCCACTTCATATGCTTGTAACTGCTTAGAAATGTCCATCTCAAACACCTGTTAAATGCAGAGAAGTCATCAGGCACCAAAAGTGAGAAAAACCACACAAGCACACACACACACACACACACGTGACCATGTCAACGAGACCCACTAAAACGCCTACTCTGTGCCTGGCATATTAATGATAATTTAAGAAAACTCTCTGCACTGAGAAGGAATCATTTTACTTGGGAGGAAAGGATATAAGAAGCATTTGGAGTTAAGCCTAAGACAACAGTAAGTATGGTCCCTGATATTCATTTTCCAAAAGCCGACACCTTGTTTTTACAAAGGCACACAACATTTGTTTTGAGCTCTGATTCCAATACTTACTTTCTTCTTCTCTGAAAACTCTATTAGGTTTTATGCATCAACTATGGGTCAAAGGGAGGAAACAAAACAAAAGCATCGCAGCCCTATCTGCCCAGTCACCGAGTCAAAGTTTAATTATAGTTCAGCTGGGTTTTCAGAGTTACAAGAACAGCTAAGTAATGGAGCTGTTTACTGAAAACCATGCTTTGCACACAAGACATGCAGCAATGAGCCAAAACCCAAATGTCACCCACATAGATGAGTGAATACGAAACAATGCCTGCGCTGCCTTCCTTCCCATAATAGTAACAGTGATGAAAAAACCACCCGTGTGAAAAACAGCCCCGAGTGCACGAGGGAGTGAGTGGTCTGTCTGTGCTTTCTCTTGGGGGCTGAGCTTGAGGGGGGCGGGGGCAGGGCTGCAAGGGGGGCAGAGGGCAGAGGCTGCCGCCTCAGGCACCTCCTCTCTTTCCTGGCTGCGTTGAAAACACCATGGGGCTGAGCCCCTGGGCACCCAACACGGACCCTGGGGAATCTGGGAATTCAGTCACCACATAAAGAAGCCACATGATCAGAATACACGGTTAGAGAGTGAGATTGGGCTTTACAGGAGCAGAAACGGACTTTTCAGCACATTTCCTGAAAAAGAAAGGCCAACAGAGTTAAAATCAATAGACAGCTCGTTTCCCCTGATGGCCCTCTATCAGCACTCACAGGGGTGAGTCCTATCTTCCCTGAAATCCATTTTAAAAAACCATGTTTACTATCTCACTGTTTACAACAATCTCATTTTGTCTCCCTTAAGGCTAATTCCTCAGCTTCCTGGTTTTCAATTTAATTCAATGGATACTAATTAGGCACAAAGTCTTTCTATGCTGAAAAACTAACTCACATTGTATTGGTGGCATGTGTGTGTGCTGTTTACTGTATTGACCCGACTCTCAGTCATCCCTGAGAGTGACCGTGAGGTCAGCAGAGATTATCATCTCTATTTTCAGTCAAGGAAACTGACTCAGAGGCTTTGAGTCAGTCTCAGATCCCGGCTCCACCGGCGACTCCCCGAATGACCTTGAGCAGGTCTCTTGACCTCTCCCAGGATCAGTTCGTGGCCTCCAGCACTTCTGGGGGAGTTACAGGACACAACGTTCCCAGCACCTGGCTGGCAAGCCAAGAGGCAGGTGCTCACTCAGCTACGGGATCTGCTTCCACACACTTGTTGTGAAACCCTCACATTCAAGCTCGCGCTTCAGCAAAATGACAAAGGATGCCACAGCATGGACCTTCTGAACAGCTCAAACCGCCAACAGTAAAACCGAGACTGTGTGGCATTGGGGTGTGACTATAAATGGGGTACAGAACAAATGTCACACACACACAGCTACCTCTCTTCTTCCACCAAGATTTATTTTTAAAGGAGCTCTTAACCTGGAAAACTTGGGAACAAAACGTCTGGCCATTTACACAGATTGGTGATCAGCTGAGGTTAATGGCTCTCAACTGTGCCTGAAGCTATAAACTCTCAGGCCTCCATTAATACCTAGGAACCTGCCCGGGTCATAATCGTCTCCGCTTAATGGCACCATTATCTCCTGGGTCTCCAAACACTGAGGGCCCTCAGATTTGGCAGTGATGCCCCAGAATTTATCCCAAACCACGGCAGCACGTGGTTGGTGGTAAAAAGAGCCCTGGTCTCCTCAGACAATGCTTGTTCAAGTTGCTATATATTCTTCATAGCCATCATTTTTATAAATGGCTTCATGGTACTCTACCACCTCGACATATCACAGCCATGCCAATCCATGCAACCAGTGTTGGCTGCCCAGTTACTTGAGAGTTTCTGTTGCTCTAAATGACAACTCTAAGCGTCCTTGTCCATATGGCTTTCCCCATATTTCGGATTATTTTCTAAGGATACATTCCAGGAAATAGGATTACTAAGTCAAAGGGGAAGAATATTTTACTGGTTCTCGAGACATATTGCCAAATTGCTTCCCACATGGGAACGATCAGGGTACAACACCATTAGCAGCACACGAATGTGCCAGCCTCAGTGCACACACCCTTGGCACTGTGTATTGGCATGAAACATTTCGTTTGGTTAATCTAGTCAGTAAAGCATTATATGTTATTTACACTTGAATCATGCACGAAGCTAAATATTTTCCCAGATGCTGTTTATTACACGGACCTCCTCCTTAGAGAACTGTCTTAAGTTCTTGGCTCATGTGCTAATGGAGACGGAGTTTCTCTCTGCCGTCTGTGGACACTGCATAATGAAGCTGTGAACCTGGTGTCTGCAAAACTAGCCCCGTACTTTCCACGTCCCCACCCCACACCTGCCCGCCTCTGTCGGTCTCAGTGGCGCACCCGAGGCGGAGAGAGGAGCGGTCGGCCCAGGTATCAGCAGTAAGGGGGCGGCAGGGTCTGTCGTGCATTTAAAAACAGTAACAAACCCCACTCATAGTTGGCCTGCTTTTTATTACCACCACATGCACACAATCCTAAACAATGCCAGTGGTAAAATAAAGTATCCCTCCCACCCTACCACACCCTCTAGGTCTGGCACTGATGGGCCTTTTTAAAAAGTACTCACTTCCAACAGTGCAAACTGCCCAGGCAGAGGGCTCCTCCCAAAGGCAGGAAAGGGGGCCTGGCCACGGGCTCCGAGGAGCCCTTCTGAACAAAGGAGCCTTGTTAAGATTCTGGTTCCGGCCCCACATGCTCAGCTCGCACAGAGAACTGCCAGCTGTTTACAGTGAAGTTGCCAGGAGCAGAGCTTCTCCATTGGTTCCCAGGGTGCGGATCCCCTGGGATCTTGCTAAAATGCAGATTTGGACTCAGCAGGTCTCTGGTGAGGCCCCAGATTCTGCATTTCTCACCTGATACACTGACAGTTCTTACCTGATACACTGACAGGCTGGGGTCACGCTTTAAATGGAGCCCAAAGGGAGCTGGGAAATAGGCTCTTTCCCTGTCTCCCCACCCCCACCCCGACTGTTTTCCTTCCTTACACTGAACTGGGGCTGCAGAGGCCGATGCACTCACTGTGACAGGAATGCAAACTGGACCTCCTCTTAGTTTCTGTTTACCCCCAGGGTTTCCCCTCTTCTTGGGTCGGGATTTTTAAGTCACACCAAGGACTCCACAGAGCCTGAAGGGCTCTGTCCTCCTGCCCGGGGCTCTCAGCTCTGGACCTGCCCCCTCTGTGGCTGCTCCCAGCCCATCCGCCTGGACTGGGCCAGTGTCCTCGCTGCTCTCTCTCATCCTGTTCGCAGGCTGTGTCCCAGCCTCTGGAGCCAAGACCACCCATGGAGAGGGCATTTAGTGAAATGGAGCCAATGGCGATCACAGAGACGCCAGACCTGCCCATGCGTACAGGACAACTGTGTGCAATTAACGCACTTACCACTTCCACCCTGATTCCTCCAAGGTCAAACCTGGGGTTCTGTGAGCCTGCAGAGGAAGCACACTGCACCTCGGCCTCATTTCTGAGCAGGACTCGAGACTACAGCCCCCTCTGGAGGCCAGGACTCCTCAGACTCTAACCATCTCTCTCACTCTCCCCCACCCCCCTCTCTCTCTCTCTCTCTCTCTCTCTCTCTCTCTCTCTCTCACACACACACACACACACACACACACACACGTACATGCACACGCACACGCACACACGCTGAACCGCCAGGCATCTGGAATCTCTCTCTAGTCTCTCACTCCCATGCCTTTACATATGCTGTGACCAGGGGCCAGCAACGACAGCCTGCAGACTGAATCTGTCCCACCGCATGTTTCTGTAAATAAAGTTTCACTGCAGCACGGTCACCTCATTCCTATACACACCGTCCGTGGCTGCTTTCACTCTGCAAAGGCAGAGCTGAGTGGCTGCAGCAGAGACCTTATGCCATAAGGCTTATGGCCTACAAAGCCCACAACCTCACTCTCTGGCCCTCTACAGAAGATGTGTGCTCACCCGTCTTGGCTCATTCTTTTTTCTTTTTCTTTTTTTAAACTTATTTATTGATTTGAGAGGGTTGGGGGAGAGAGATTTGTTGTTCCACATATTTATGCATGCCTTGGTCGATTCTTCTATGTGCCCCGGCTGGGGATAGCACCCACAACCTTGGTGAAGCAGGGTGATGCCCTGACCAACTGAGCTACCCGGCCACAGCTTAGGTGAATTCTTTGAGGCTCAGCTGAACTGTATGCCCTTCAAGTCTCAACCATGAGAGCTCACGCCTCCACCAGACAGGCTCCCGTGAGCCTTGCACAAGCACCGCGGTAGCTCGCACCACACT